ATTGAAAGATATCGGTTCGGTGAGAGCTGAGAAAAAGTGGTAACAGACACAAAATAAAAATAAAAACACATCATAGTAAAACCAATACCTTCTCAGCTTCGCATCGAAGCTAAAATCAATATTTATCAAAATCAATTAGTTATATAACACATCTTAGCTAACATGAAATCGTCTTCAAATGCACTTTGTTACTCGACCGTATGTTGATAATATTAAATATTAAACCCAACCTTGAAATTTTGTAGGTTTTGCTTTTTATTATTAAAATTCGCCTCTATAAATTTATGAGATCCTATTGCTTCTCCAAGTACGGAAAGTCCTAAAGGAAACTTTCCATGTACCATACATTTTTGGAAATCTCGGACGTTAATCGAAAAAAAAATTCAACCTCTTAAACGCTTTAATGATCTTCGCAAATCATAGATGCAAGTAAAGGGGCTAAGCCACCCCACCCCCCACGAACCAAATAAAATTAGATGTTTTGTTAACGGTTATATAAAAACAATTTTAAAGGGGTATATATTAAAAATATTGAATATGTCATATTTGTAATTCTTCTTAACATAATTCACTTGACATGATCTCCCCCATCATCTACGCTCATATCAGCTGTCCTCATATCGCATGTTACATATTTAATCACAAAAAAAATTAAATATGATATTTAAATAGATTTACAGAATGAATAAATTCATTATTGACGACTAAATTTCTCCTAAAATAATAATAATCTTGAAAATATTTTTTTTTGTTTTGATAATTAATGTAATATTAATTTATAAGGGGATAAATATGCACTAAATGAGTACTTAATTGAAAACTAAACAATAAATTGACGACAAATTCATTGATTATCATGAATTCGATTTGCAGAGATTTGAGAAAATGAATACTGAAGTCAATCGTGGCAAGTAGTAAGAGAGAAAATTCAAATAATCTGATGAACAAAATTAAAGTGTCATAAATGTATAGTACAATGAATATATTGCACGAGAGAACATGACTTGGTGGCCAAATAGTAAGATAGAAAAAAAGGTTCTACATTACTCAATAATTATTCTTTCGTGTCCCGCGGGTTAGGAATAAGTTCATAAGCAAACTGGCAACATTGCTTACCTAAGTCTATGTAATTAAAAGGGACAGACCATTGAAATCATTCTTAAAGCTTATGAATTCCAGACGTTTCCAGCTGCCTATTAACTTATATTTCATTTGAATTTGTCGCTTAAATACACTAAAATTATTGCTATTAATAGACCGTCCGGTTGGGTTATTTTTCTATTTATTTATTGCCTATTAGTATTGTAAATAAAATATATGCTGTTTATTACATCATCGGTTTAGTCAATATTTATTCAAGTTCCGCTTTTTAACACGCTTATATTAGTTTCACCTGTATGTATGTATGTAACTCTGCAAACGCCACGCGTTATCGCATATTCCGTCGTCTAGACTAGACTGTCATAACGCATTCACTCCTCCCCACGCCTCGCTCAACACACGACGGCACACTATTCCTATAAAAATTTATTTTTAGTTATCGTACCCGTACACGCGTGCTTGT